GATCAGACCAAACGGTCCTGAACACAGGCTTGAGGTATTACCACCAGGCCCAGTGGTATGGAAAGGGGACCTGTGGGACATTGTGACTATACCTCTGTGTTGGCTCGTCTCTTGCTCTCACTTCATTCCCTATGTAAGGACCTGCCAAACACGGACTGAGACACACTTGCAATGACTTGCTGTTTTCTGGTCGCCTGTAGCCTCTCTCTGTCGAGGCTGTACCATAGGTAGGGTAGATTCATAATTTTGTTTGGCTGAGGGCTAACCGAGAGACCTACCTGTAGTGGAAATTCGTGAGGGACATACCTGCAAATTTGGGGAAAATACCGGCCTAACACTAACTGAATTTCCTACTACTACCCTAACTGCGAATAGCAGGCCCGGGCTACCCCTAGGACAGACAGGCCCTAGGGGCCTATGCTGATAGATGGTCCTATAGCCTATAGCCGGGTAAGGGAGAGACCGAGAGGCCGGAACTGAATCGGTACCGGTCAGTCAGTCAGTCCGGTCTAGGTCGAGTCTAGGCTAGTTGTAGTTTATAGATAGAATGGGCTTTTGGCAGTTGGTACCGAGTACATCGCTGTTGCGCTACGCGTGAACCGGAAGTGGTGACGGCTCAACGTGGAAGGAAACAGGCATCGCCAGACCTTCGGAGCGCCGGCCATAGCTGGGACCTGCGCTGTACTCTGCCAGCACGCAGGGGCTGACAGAGGTCTGGGTTATCGAGGTTGGCTGGAGGCGAGAGAAGTTGGTGCCCTGCTGGACCCTCCTCCGGAGTGGGGTTCCAGGGTGGTGGCGCTGCAGCCATAGCTGCAGCTTCTTCCTCGGAGGTCATCTTGTCACGGTTTGGTGGCGCTGCTGTAGACTTCCACCAGGGAAGTCTTCCGACACTTCGTCATCACCAGATACTGTGGCGCTGGTCTTCTTCTTCATCCTCTGAGTGGCGTTTGGCCTCAGAGGCCTGGTTCAGGGTGGCGCTTCCCTTTGGAGACTGTATCTGGGTGGCGCTTGATGTTTCAGGGGCTCAGGGGTGCTACGAGTGGCTAATCAAGGTTGGGGAGTGAAGCGCTGCTCAATTCTGAGCAGCGCACTGCAGTACTGAGGCTATCCTGACAATTCGAGACTCTGAGTTTAATAAACAGTGTGGAACTGGGTTTGGACTATCATCGTTGCATTGTTTCCTGGATGTGATCTGCTCGACTTTTCTTTATGACTGGTTGCGAGGATTGAGTGGAGTGAATTGCACTTTCAGTGTACCCTGTCATATCGCATGGTCCAGTTTTCTGCTGTGTTTATCTCTCCTTGTGCGGTGTGATACTCCTATCCTCTCCCCTTCCTTCTGTGTATGTATGGGCATACTTGGAAGTCTATGTGAGTGAGTGTTGGTCTTCAGACAACAAACAACCAGAATCATAACAGTTGGTATCAGAACGATTGGATCCAGACTCTGGAGCGCTTGATGAGTTGGAGCACCTCTGGCGAGATACTGGAGTTGAGTCTCATGGTGATTCATTATCTTCAGGGTTGTTGTCAGTAAGGGTGGCGGCTGTGAGTGTGTGGCGAGAAGAACTGGATAGAGGGTGACTCACTCCTGACTAGGGTTGTGCAGGAGTGGTTGGCGATTGGTGCTCAGAGGCCTGAGAGGCTATTTTTAGCCTGGCGATTCATCTGGAGGCTGGCGATTGGTAGGGAAGTGATCCCAGGAGGTTGCGATTGTGGAATTGGGTTGGGATCCCCAATTTCCAACCAGCGCAGTACAGGGTGATGTGGCGCTGCATTGACCTTGTCAATTATTGGCACCTGGGAGTCTGAATTCTTTGAATCTGTTAGTTGGGGGTGAAGCGCCTCAGGGTAATCTACTGGATCACCAAGTTTCAGGCAATTTGGTATATGGGAACACTGGATACTGTCAGGAGATGAAACTGGCGAGATGGGGTTGACTAGTCAGCCATAGCCAGGGTTTCATGCATCTTCTTCAAAGTTGACCTTGAAGTAAGTGTGTTCCTTACTCCATCCTGTGTGGCGATTCTGGGGCTATTTTTAGAATAGCGGAATTTGGTCTGTCTGTCAGTGTACAGTTGAAAATCGAAATTCAGACTGTGGGACAACCATATCCAACTTCCCTTACCTTCTTCTTTGACTTCTACAAACCCTGTTTGACCCTCTTTCTGACTCATATTTCATCGGTGACTGCTTTACAGTATTGCGATTTATACTATGTAGTGAATTGGTGAATCTGGGGTTCTGTTTTCAGTGATAATGCAAATTTGAATTTTGCGCTGACATAGCTAAGCTTGGCTAGACTAGGGTCAGTCAAAACTTTGATTCTGTCCGTCAGAATTCAATTATGTCAGTCCCTGGTAAATCGCAATTCAGTACTTAGTCTGTGTCTAAAATCGCACATCCAGATTTAATGTCTTGAGCGAGTTACAGTGGAAATTGTAATTCGCCATGCCCAGGGTATGGCATACAGGGTATGGCATCCCTGGTAGGTCTAAAAATAGGGTAACCTGTAAATCGCTGCATCTTCGCTATCAGTGGACACCTGCCAAACCCTAATTAGTTACTCTGTCTAATTACTAATCAACACTAATCAGTCCAAGACTACATCCTGTCAGTTACTGAAGCAGGATTTGCATTTATTGTATGCAATTGTTGTGTCAAGGCAGGGATGGGAAAATCATGAAATTGATTTTTGTTGAGTCTACTCTTAACTGACCCTGACCCTCAAGTGGTCTGCAGAGGCTGAGCACTCACTTGCTCAAACTAACCTACTTCTCTCTCCAGACAGGTGACAACAATTGGGTGAGTACTGAAGAGAAATCCCAATTCTTGTTACCTCCTGTTCTGTCTCTGATTGATTGTTTATTTTTTTATTTATCTGAATTGTGGGCAACAAAATGGCCGATTCTGAGAAGGGTGAAGTGCCTAAGAAGGGTGAGACTTCTGAAGTGAAGCCTCGCTCAAGACGCCGGTTCTGCTTGACCCTCTAGAGGCTGAACTACGGGCCCAGGAGGAGATACTCCGCCAACAGGCCAAGGCAGTTGAGTCTCTAAAGGCTGAGCTAAAGAGGAAGGAGGAATCTGCCAGGGAAGAAACGAGAAGGCGGGAACTGACAGCTGACGTGGAGAAGGTTAGGACTAGTGGCAACTCCAGTCAGTATAATAAGGACATAGCTGAATTCGTCCTTCTGCAGGACGAAATTCATCATCCTATTTTACTAATTGGGACGTTAGGATCACCAGTCTGGAGGACAGCATGGCTGAGCACACTCAGCAGCTGAAGGATATTTCCTCCAAGATGGACCGTCTTTTTGTCCATCTGCAGATCCCACCTGCTTAGACAGCTCCTCCCTCTCCTGGGCTTCTCAAGCAGGTTCTCAGCAACCCCCACAATCCAGACCTACATCTCCATCCTCTACCCCCAAATCAACAGCAACTTCACAGCCCTCAACACCATTTGATTTCCAGCGGCCCAAGCTGACACCTCCACACATGTTCTCAGGGGAAGACCCGAAGGTGGATGTTGCAGATTGGTTCACTGCCCAGAGAACCTACCTCAGTGGGTTCAAATGTGATGAGGATGTCAAGGTGTCTACCATCCTTGCTCGTTTGGAGCGGACTACACTGAAATGGTGCACTTCCACCTCCAACAAGCAAGGGATGGAAATGTCTAATTGGGCACAGAGGTTGGGGGTGGCTGGTTTTCTGCAGGCCCTGCAGGATAGGTTTGCAGACAAGGAGCAGGCCAGGAAAGCAGCAGATAAAATTATGCGCCTGGGCCAAAAGAAATTTGATGGCTCCTTGTCCAAACTCTATTCTACCTTTGAGAGTCTGACTTCGACTCCAGGGTTAGAGATGAGTGAGCAGGATCTGCTCATTCATTTCTTGCGTGCAACACCTGAGCAATACCAGCTAGCTTTATTCTCTCAGGGCCACAAGGACTGGCGGTCCTTTGGCAGAGCAGCCCTGGACTTGGAGTCCAAACTCCATGTCTAGGAAGCACCTTCTAAGGGAAGAAAGGGACCCTTCTCCAAAGGGCGAAGGAGGAGGAAGGGTGCCATGTTTGCTGCTGCAGCTTCCGGATCAAATAGTGACGCAGCATCCCAGGGTGGGAGCCCTCCACCTGGGACTGCTTCACCATCTGCTGCAGATTCTGCCGTTCTTGCCCTGACTGATGCTTTGATGGGCTTGACAAAGGGCAAAGCCCCAGCCCAGAAAGCATCAACCAGCAAACAGGGGAAAGGAAAGGGATTGCCTCTTCTCCTAGAGCCAGAGAGTTCCTTTGCCACGTGACGTCCGATGGCCAGCTGATCCTCTTGATCCTTCCACCTTCCCCTGGCATGCACTCAGGATCCAAGAGGGGGTATGGAGGAAGAGAAAGGACAAGGGGGTCTGCCTGAGATGCGAGGGGGACCATTTTCTGAAGGACTGTCCCAGCATGCCTTGTAGGTCTACAGGCAGCTCTAGTTCAAAAAACTAGAGCAGAGAGAGGTGGAAGCAACCTCCTTCCACTAGTGTTGATTCACTTTCAGATGAGGGTGAATATTCACATTCTCTCGCTGGTTCTTCCATATCTGGAGTTGCCTCTTCAGGGTCTTTCACTTTTGAAGACTCTGAGTTGGATGAGACGTGGGAGGAGGAGGATGCTCAGTGCCTTGCTGATCTTTTCTTGTCCTTACAGGAAAATAAGAAAAAGCACAGGTCGGAACTCATCCTACTTCGACCCTTCATCCTGGGAGCCAAGATCAAAGGGCTCTTGGACTGTGGGGCGACTCGCAACTTCATCTCTCCCAAGGCAGTCAGCAAGCTGCACTTGGATCAGATACTGGTGAAATTGCGACAACCTATAGAGGTTCGCATTGGGGACTCTTCCACAATCAGGATCACTACTGTTGTCAAGGGCCTACCTATGTCCTTTGACAAGCAGGGAGAAATCAGGCACCGCCTGAATTTTTATGTGTTCCTAACGTTCCCTTTGACTTTGTCTTCTTTATGTAGTGGCTTGGTGCCACCAATCCTAGGATCGACTGGTGGATCCCTAGGGTTGCGCTACTTGACCGGCATGGGGTTTATCGCCCTTGTATGCTCGTTGATGAGTACCATCCGGCCAGCAACTGTTATTGCATGAGTGCTCGCAGATTTCTGCGATTTTCACGCCAGACGGACCACGCTCGTTTGTTTGTGGCTTATGTCAAACAGACTGACGTGGAGACTGCTCCCTGTCCCTCTCAAATTCAGGAGGTTGTTGACCGCTTCTCAGATCTTATGGAGGAGCCTACTGGACTTGTCCATAGGCAGACCAAACATAAGATTGAGATCCTGCCTGGTTCGGTCCTTCCCAAGGGCCGAGTCTACAGGATGTCACCTGCTGAACTTGAAGAGCTCAAGAAACAGTTAGAGAACCTGACCAGCAAGGGCTGGATTAGGCCCAACACATATGAGTTTGGGGCACCAGTCCTCTTTGTTCCAAAGGGGAATGGTGAGTTAAGGATGTGTGTGGACTATCGTGGTCTCAACAAAGTCACGAGGAAGTCTACAGAGCCCCTTCCTCGCATCAATGATCTGTTGGATATGGTGCAGGGCTGCACTATCTTTAGCAAGATCGATCTCAAATTTGGCTATCACCAGATTGAGATGGCTGAAGGCGATTTCCACAAGACAGCCTTCAAGACTAGGTATGGTACTTATGAGTACCTGGTCATGCCATTCGGTCTCTGCAATGCCCCAGGCACCTTCCAGACAGAGATGCATCGCATACTCAGACCTTACCTGGACAAGTTCGTAGTTGTCTACCTAGATGATATCTTGGTATTCTGTCGTTCTGTCCAGGAGCATGCGCAGCACCTGGATCTGGTCCTCCAGGCCTTACGTGATAACCAGTATAAGATCAACAGGGAGAAATCCTCTTTTGGGGTTCCCTCTATGGTCTATCTGGGTCACGTCATTTCTGGAGAGGGGTTGGCTCCTGAAGCAACAAAAGTTGGTGTAGTTCAGGACTGGCCGCGACCTGCTAACATTCGTGATGTCCGGTCATTCTTGGGACTTGCATCCTATTATAGGAAGTTCATCTAAAACTTCTCCTCTATTGCAGCTCCCTTGACTGATCTCACAAAGAAAGACACTTCCTTTCTTTGGACATCAGAATGTCAGGAGGCTTTCACACGTCTCAAGGAGGCCTTGATTTGTGCCCCTGTTTTGAAGTTACCTAACCCTACCCTGCCTTTTGTACTTACCACTGATGCTAGTCAGTATGGTGTAGGGGCGGTACTTCAACAGGATGATGGGAATGATCTGCAGCCTATTGAGTATATGAGCAAGAAGATCAAAACAAAGAAGTTGAAGGACTCCACCTATGAGAAAGAGTTGTATGCTCTTGTGTCAGCGCTCAAGCATTGGAAGCACTTCCTCCTGGGCAGACACTTCAAGATCTTTTCAGATCACTCCACCCTGCAGTGGATGAAGTCCCAAGGAGAACTAAATGACAAGCTTGCTCGCTACATCCAGTTCATTGACATGTTTGACTTTGAACTGAGACACAAGAAGGGCTGCTACAATCGAGTAGCAGATGCCCTTTCTTGTAGGCCTGACGCTCATTTCCTGATCTCCTTTACCCACTCATTTGGAGAGAGGACTCGTCAGACCATTGCCCGTTTGCTGCCCCAGGATGAGATTTTTGGGCCTATTGTGAGGAATCTCCAGGATGATCCTGCCTCTGAACTAGGATATACTCTGGTTTCCGATCTACTGTACACATGCAGCAGAGGTGAGGAACGCCTGTGCATTCCCTAGGACCGCAAGCTGAGAACACTTCTGATGCCAGAGTGTCATGATGCCCGTGGTCACTTTGGTGCCCTCAAATCTTATGCAGCCCTGTCGCAACGCTTCTTCTGGAAGGAGATGAGGAGTGACATGCTTTGCATTATGTAGAAACCTGTGAGTTATGCCAAAGGAACAAGGTTGTACGACGACCTCCCCTTTGCCTACTCAAACCACTACCTATCCCAGATGCACGTGCACAGTCAGTGTTGATTGATTTTACTGACTTGGGTAGGATCACGCCTTGTGGTATGCGTCAGATTATGGTATGTGTGGACCGGTTCTCTAAATATGCAGAGTTCATCCCCTTACCAGCCGAGGCTCGCGTTTCGGCCGTTCAGGCGGCATTTGCTGACAGGTGGGTTATACTGTTATACATCATGGACCACCCACCTCTACCGTCAGTGATCGAGATCCTCGTTTTTGCAACAATGAATGGCAATCCTACTGCAGGGATTACCTTCATTCCAGACTGGACATGGCATCTGGTCGTCATCCTAAAGCAAATGGACAGGCTGAAGTGATGAACCAGATTCTGTTTCAGTTGCAGCGTCCTGTAAGTCCAGATCAGCAGGACTTGGATCTCCATTTGGGTCGTGCACAACTTGTGTATAACACGTCTGTACACTCCTCTACTGGCTTCACACCCTACCGGTTGCACTGGGGTCGTGAGCCACGACAGCCTCTCGATGATATCATCGATAAGGCTACCCCTATGCTGACACCTGGAACTGCAGAGTTCACTAGGCGTTACCGTGTGGACATAGAGCGCGCCCGTGCCAACCTGCTGAAAGCCCAAAAGGCTATGATTCAACAGGATAACAGTCACATGCGTCCTTCTACTATTCGCACAGGTGACTGGGTGTGGGTACTCAGTTCTGAGTTGTCGCGAGAGAAGGATATTTCCCCTAAGCTGTTGCCATGATATACGGGTCCATGGCAGGTCTTAGATACAGTGGGAGCTGATTCATTTGGACCATCCTATACAGTGGACGTCCCTCTGCATCTACAAACCTACCCTGTCTTCCATGCATCTAAGATGTTGCCGTTCACGTCAGCTGCTGCATTCCCAGACAGGCCTCCTCAGTTCGGTCCCCCTATCCTTGACAAAGGATACGAGGTGGAATCTGTGGAGGATGAGTCAGGTACAGGTCCAGATAAGGAGTACCTTGTGAAGTCCTTGTACCAGCCGCAAATTGAGGATCGTTGGTTTACTCGCAAGGAACTTCTGAAGACTGCAAAGTCAGTTATCCTGAATATGACGCCGCACAGAAGGGAGTATCCCTTCGACGCTCTACACGACTACGCCTTTAGCTCGGAGGTCCTCGCTCCGGGGGAGGGTAGGTCTACAATGACTTGTTGTTTTCTGGTCGCTTGTAGCCTCTCTCTGTCGAGGTTGTACTATAGGTAGGGTAGATTCGTAATTTTGTTTGGCTGAGGGCTAACCGAGAGACCTACCTGTAGTGGAAATTCGTGAGGGACATACCTGCAAATTTGGGGAAAATACCGGCCTAAC